GACGAGGCACTTGTTTGGGTGGGGCACACAAGCTTTGCTCTGATGTTTTGATCGTAATGCCTAATCCGAGCGTTTTGGAGTGAGACATGGAAGCCAACCAAGTGGCGGAAATTACGACTGAAAGCGCCAATCGTTGATTGGTTGTTTAATCGCATAAGTGAGTGAGATGAGTGAGTCGTGTCAGGTTTAAGCCCCAACAGGTCTTAATCCATGAATGATTGTGACATCTGTGACCCCAATGCAGAGCTTAATACAAACACTTATCAATCGCCCGGGCTATATATACCTAGCAGTCAGATACGAGCATCACGGCACTTGTGCTAAAATTGTTTGACACAACTCATTGTCAGACATCATTGTTGAAGACTTCATTCAAGCCATAGCCTACACACTTTTTAAAGGTCCTGTTTCAAAGCCAGTCCACTTAGCCATCCTGGGACATAGCTTCGTGCGGCGACTTGATCAAGTCTGTCCCCCTCCACGTGGCATCCTCACTTCCGTGCGTGGGATCCTCAGAACCTGGATCTTCTGGACTACCTTCGAAGGGAATATGAACAGTGAGCGGTACACAGATATTCTCGAGGGACATTTACTTCCATCTGCTCACGTGTTCCATGGAAATGTTTGGATTTTCCAGCAGGACAACGACCCAAAACATCGTTCAAAGCATTCACAGGCCTGGTTTGGGACCCAAAATATGACATTATTAGATTGGCCAAGCTATAGCCCTGACCTAAATCCAATAGAAAATGTTTGGGGACTTCTGAAGGAAAGTGTCAATAAGAAAAATCTGACAAATATTGCTGAAATGAAAGAAGACGTGGTCCGATATTGGGACAGCATGGACCACGACTTTCTAACTTCTTTGATCAGTAGTATGCCCCGCTGCATTGAAGCTTGCATTGCTGCCCATGGTGACTTGACAAAATACTAACTTCACCTGTTTTTGAATGTTGAGTGATGTTCTGCTAATATTCACATTTAGTACGTGAGTAATGAGTGAAAAAAATAATAAAATTTACAATCTTTAAATTCTCAATAATTTCTGGTTGTACTGTATATTGACAAACATTTGTTTTGAAAGCTCGCAAGTGTTCACTGGATATAGTATATGTACAAAAAGTGTCATCTTGGAACACATCATACCATATATAACCGCACACAAAGACGAACACGGTCTATAAAAAGAGTTGTGTTAAGCATGAAGCTACGTTACCATTACTGTATGGAAACATGAATAACAGCTACCTATAAAAGTGATTAGAATGAATGCTTTGTGTTTTCATAGTGTAATAAAACCGAAAAGGGAGTGCAATATGCTTCCAGGCAAGATCATGGTAGTTTGCAAACGGTGAAAGTAATCTACGTTATGAAATCTACGTTACCACCTGATATGGAATCTTACAAAATATTACTGGAAATAGAACATTTCGCTTCGTAGTATAGTCAGAGAACCCAGGCAAATAATTTGATAACCTACAACAGTTGCCACTGGTTGCTGTCACATGATCGCAGCACTTCAGTGACATTTCACGAAATTCATATTTTGAAGGGAAACTTCATCTTCATTCGGGTAATTCCCCATGAAACAGGTAAGAATGTTTGTTAATTTACTTCATTGGAGAGATGTAGTGTCAGAATCTTTCAAAACAATTGTTCTACTGTTGAGAATTTCTTCGGTAGAAGCATTTGGAAATGATCACTATATTTGGGTGTCGGTAGCCATCCTTTAAAAACATTGATAGAAGTTGTATTTCGTGAAGCATGTATCAATTGCTTTAATATCACATAGAGTTTTTAGATATATTGATCTTAACCCTAAACGTGATATTTCGATCTCTTAAGAAAAGTGATACATATCTTTCCTCTCAATTTTGTACTCGTTCCTCAAAGTATGGTAACGTAGATTGCAATGAATGAAGTAATACCTTCATAACTATCACATGTTCCGGTAGCTGTTATGAATATTTTATTTATTGCTCATCAAGTAGCAATAATGACTTTCATATATGGTAAGTTGTAAAATGAATCTATATGAGGACGATTATTACGTCCAATGAAGAAGTTTGTAAGGTAACGTAGATTAAAAAATTATCATTGATCATTGTCTTGCTCATTCTGTCAGAATTTGACAGAATGAGCAAGACTCATGCAGAGATCCAGCGGGATTACGGACAAGGGAATAACAAAAAAAGAAGGAATGAATGTTATTCATCTGAACAAGTGTTTTTTGTGCAAATGTGTAATCTACGTTACAAAGGCATTCATCGACAACCTGATCAATAATATTACTTTTTGTAAATGTTGTGTTGTCAGTGAAGTTCATGATATTGACCTCTCAGATGTCGATTCTTTTTGTCGTCTTCTTTTGCGAAAAGAACTTTTGCGTAAAGAACTGTACACTCAACAGAAATATCACGTTTAGGGTTAACAGTATGACATAAAATTACATTTTCAAGAGCTTTGATTTGATAAAGTTTATTGTTATAATGCTAACAAACACAACTGAGTGGAGAAGATGTTACATGTAATGTTGTTTCCATAACGAAACACCACTCTGGGATTAATGACTGAACTATCTCCCTTCAATGTGTTATGCAGCCACCATAAAGAACAGTCACGTAGATTACAACGATCGTGCAGGGTGGTATTGTATGAGATGTGATGGAATTTTTACAAGCTCCCATTGAATGCTACAATTTCTGATTTTCGTTCGTGACACTTTCTTCAATAAAACAGCAACAACAAGTGACAGAAATATTGTCTTTATTTTTTTACGATTTGTGTCTTTCAATTTGGGCATTCTCTGTGAGAATTGGTGGTTACATCAAAAACAACAGTATATAACAGATTCACCGAGTAAATTTCTCTGTGAATCTAGATTAATCCTGGAAGCTGATTACGGTACCGTCAAGGCCATATTTTACGCACGCTTCAAAGAATACGAAGGTGCTTGACTTGTGAGAATAGTTTATGGACGGATTAACATTTCTCCAGGTTTGGTGCCAACACTGGCAAATACGCATGTTAAGAGTTACTAATCATTTTCGAACATTGAAGACAGGATGTTAACGTTGTTAAGTCCACTGCAAGGTTTATAGTAAAACGTGTGATTTTTATGTTTGCATAATTTGTAGTAAATTTGGTATAGACAGGCCAAGCCACGGGATAATCGTTTCGGTAAATTAGGAGAGACAATTATTTGAGTGAAATGTGACGTGAAGCTTGTTGACATGTAAAATTTATGGTGAAGATCCGGGTTAGAATCGGTCTTCAGTAACCCATGCTTGTCGTAAGAGGCTACTTACGGGACCAGGTGGTTAGACTCGCTGACTTGGTTGACACATGTCATCGCATCCCAATTGCGTATATCGATGTTCATGCTGTTGATCACTGGGTTGTCAGACTCGATTATTTACAGACCGGTGTAATATTGCTGAGTGCTGCGTAAAACTAAACTCAACCAGTCAGTTTTTGTGAAGTTTGTGCATTGTTCTCACATATAGGTTCATATGGATTACATTGCCAGTAATAGAAAACAAACACAGAAATCTACAAATATTGTAAAGTTGACCTGAGGAACCACATGTTCCGATTTCGTTTTTGAAAAAAAATTTAAGTTCGTTTTATAGGTCCTTGTAACATTCGTCGTACGGTTTGTTAATAGTCCATTATAGAGTGTATTGTTAAGTTCATTGTAGAGCTCGTCGTTAGTTCACAGTAAAGTGCGTTTTAAAGTCCATGCCATGGTCCGTTGTGAAGTTAATTGTAAAGTTGATAGTAAAGTCAGTTTCAAATTGTTAATTGTCTGATACCAGTGATGGAGGAATAGAGGTATCAGGTTCCAGGATGTTGAGTTCAGCCAGGTCTTCAGACACAAGATCGTCACTGCTAGTAATATCCAATTATCCGAGATAAGCCACGGCATCTTCCCAGGGCACATTGTCATAAGCCGTGGTGGCCACTTCTGAAGGGAGATATTGTTTGTACAGAGACGATCGACATTGTTGTCCCCCTCCAGTGGTCTATACTGTATCAATATTGACCAAGTATACGGTTAGCTACCTGACACAGGTATGTATTAGCCCTAAAACATCACTGTTTACCCTATACGCTATAGAAGTGCCCTGTTTCATCAGCACTGTCGCTATGTATGGGATACAAACACACTTAAACCACATGATGGTAATCTTATATACAATATTTCAACAGTGTCCCGTGTCCCTTCTGCAAGCGCTTGGTATCGTGTAAAGCAAAACACTCCAGAATTAAGTAAATGTTCAGTAACATGTATGTTTAGTTCATTATGGGGTAAAGCATTCATCATCCATAGATGACATAGTTCGAATCCCCACATGATCGTTATATTAGTATTGCTAAAAGCGGCGAAAAGCCATTTTGTCACAATCCGGACATACATATAGTGTTTCCACCAAACAATATTTGATGCACAATGACCACTTCATACAATGGTGTGAGTGACGGGTGAGGTCAATCGTGCATGTGTTGTCAATGATTGTCAATGACCGCTTCATAAATGTTCACCTTAATTTTGCCTTTCACGCCACATGACACTTCTTTTGGCAGATAATGGAGACTGGTTATTCTCTAACGTCAATTTAATGTTAGACGTAACATGGGAGCTTATGGGATACTAGTGTTTCTGGTTCCATGTCTGAGTGACACGGTATATAGACAGATTCATGATATGCACCACACAGAGATCTACGCCTGTCGTGAATCTTTACATTTCTGTTCAGGTATAAGTTTGCCCTGAAGATCTAGAGGTCATGTTTACAATGCCTTCGACCAAGTCACTTCATGGCATGGGTACTACGTTCATTCCACGTTTTAACTGCACTGGGTATCACTTGCACATTTCTTTTTGTTTGCTCTTGGTGTAACGTGCATCCTTATCTTCTTTCTACCGGGTATTACGCGCCTCTGCATTTTGACGACACCTGTTCCTGACAGGAATACCCAAACTCAAACACTTGCTCAAGAGTTTAACTCGTTTTAATCTGTAGTGTACATAAAGTAAGAAAAGAGAAAAAGGGTATGAATAAAATATGACAACTCTAAATAACGATGTCACCCTTCCATGGTTGTTTCTTGTATCAAACGTCAGAGAATTGTTACAAAAATTCATCTTCTTTTATCGTCTACATATTACTGTTTATATGTCTAATCGGGAAAGGTGTGTAGTCCGGAAAAGGAAACAGAACATGTCTCATTACAGAATTTGTATAATATAAAATGTTCAGGGAATGTGTTTTTTCGTGGATTTTTTATAATAAAGGATTAAATGAAATGCCTGTGTCGCTAAGGGAATATACATCAATCCTTAAACTGTTTAGGTGTATGCATATTCCCTGCTTCAACAAGGAGTTTTCAATTTTTTAGATTACTTTAACATAGTATACAAATAATTCACCACTTTTGTACATACAAAGATGCTCTCTGATGTTTCAAAAGTTAACAGTGGACAATAATAGCAACAAAACATGTTTACTGTATGAACTTGAAAATGTGAAGGGTTTTGTTTTAAAAATAATTTTAACACATGCATATGAACTTGTAAGCATCACTGTATATTATGAACGTGATAGACTATGTACAGCAAAATGCTAGATCATATCCGAGACGCCATAGCTACTTCTAAGACGAACAGTACTAAATTTAAGAGCAAAAAGAAGAAGAACGTTTCTTTTGTATGCCCTTAAAAATTGAAAGAACTATTGTATAATCTGATTTGTCTATTTAGTCATCACTCGTTCTTTATAAAGTTTGTAAAAAGTGGATTTTTTTGTAGAGAGATACCGGTTCAATGATTTTGTAAATACATGACACGGTGTGACGTCAGGGTGCCTTAGAAATATATTACTACACTCTTTGTGCGATAAATAGAATCTGACACTCGTGTACCATAAACTGTTTATACGCCTTTCGGAAGCCTCAAGTCATCCCCTCACAGACCATCCACGTTTGTGTGAGATGCGTGACGGTAGGCCAGCAACGAAGAGGATGCTCACATTGCTTGAGTATTTTTGTGTCCAAAATGTCTTCGTATTCTGGTTATATGAGAGATATGGTGAGTTTGTTCAGGACGTGTCCACATATGTACTTGGTGCGACCTCCATCAGCAGCTGAAGATACATCTCTATCTTTTCTGTAAACAAAATAATTGAGAGGTTTGTATATGATCAGTAGATAATGAGTCCCATGACGAATTGTGTCTATTCTATGAACAACTATGTTACAAAGTAAGCATCTTCATGGCCACCAGTGTTGCTCCACTTCTTGCTTCTCCGTTTCATTGCATATAGACCGGATTAGCAAAATAAATAACAATTTGGCCATGACGTTTCACTTAACCATCAGGGAAATCTGATATCATGTAATAATGGTCAAACAACCAATAGCCTTCCACAAATTTACCCACATCAACTAAAACTAAAAGTCGGTGACACCGACTCATCTGTGTCATATTTAGATGTTTGCATAATAAGTTAGTCTGTCCACAAGACTGCATTATGACAAGAAGGATAACTTGTGGTTTCCTTTCTCGGAGCAATATTGCAGCAGCTCCTGCCTTTTGTGTCACAACGTTCGAGACACAGTGGAGCCTGCTGTTTCTACAAACCTTTCATGGATCGTCCTGCCCCAGTGTTGTTTGATCAAGGTTAAGAAAATAAATCAACAAAGCTTTCCAAAAGTATTTGCGAAGAGGTGGGGGACATTTCCATGTTTGACCAAAACGTAGTGAGACTTGCAGCATTTCTGCCCCTTTGTCCCGCTTAACAAGTACATTGCCTTTGGATTTGTTTGCTACAGGTTCCACCCGTGGGACAGGAGGCGCTCATCTTTTCCCGAACACTATTTCCTACCTATTCACAAACACATTTTTATAATGTACAATGAACTCTACCAGCTTCTACCAGATTCCTAATGATTTTGCAATGGTTTTTGTCATGTGTATTATTTGAAATGAGATTCTTACCATCAACTGACTTTCAAAATGAATTGATAATTAACGTATTTTCAACATATTCACAAGGGTACATTATATTTCACGTTAATCTTTACGATGTTGATATGGCAGAGTGAATCTACTGAATTAGAACGGCATGGTCGCGAATGAACGTTCGATAAAAGTACAATCCTACTATCCTATACGTACCAAACCATTTTGGTTTTAAGTTGAAGTGGATGAGTGGGAAATAGATGACGAGGCCACCAACAACGAAAGCGGCAGCATACAGCAGCTCAACCCGGGGATTATCTACAATAGGTGCAACAACCAGGAACAGACACCACAGCATGAAGATGATGGGGATGAGGATTGGAACCTGAAAGAAGAAGTGAGATGGATTTAACGCACATATTTATCATTTATCGCGACATGTTAACTAGGCATTTGAGATTTGTGGAGGTGATGAATGTTAGGATGTTTATCAAAGGCCATGCGTATGTTGCTGACAAACTTGGAAACATAATCAGGATATAAAGGAGGCTCCTGTCTCATTGACGCAGCTCTGGTGCCTAGGTCATCTTCACATGTTTTCAGCTACATTTTTTCAAACCTTTCCTCAACTAATTTATAAGGGATGTATGCAGATGTTGTGTTCGGTGCCGAACCCTAACACCCCGAATTGCAAGAAGACTCCACACGCTTGTCAGACGCTCTAACGTGACATCACCTTGACATTCATGAACATTTGATATCCTCTTATATATCAGACACACTACAATAACACCACTCTGAACACTCATTAGAGGAAAAGCTTTCATCCTAGGCAGACAATTCAAGGTTGATGTGAAGGACACTACAATAACATCAGCCTCGACATCCAAAGTCTTCAAGAGATATCCTCAGGGAATGTATTCGGTTCATTCGTAGTAATACTTTTAAGGTAGCATTTGTCTGCCTCGAATGATAACAATCGAACACTTTTCAGACGGAGATATAAAGTTTCAACTTCAGGAGTGTGTATGGTATCACCTTTATTCGTTTCGGGTCCTCCTTTATTTTAAACCGGAGTACAATACAACATAGAGCACAGGCACAGTAGAAGACCCAGCTGGTGAAGCTGAGGAACGTGATGAGGCTGGTGATGGTCCCCTGTAGCACCATGAAGATAGCGATCAGCACCTGCAGCCAAGCATCAACACATGACATTTGCTGATATTACTTTGAGTGAGATACACTTCATAGTATAGGTAATATTTAAATCTCAAAGTGACAAGAACAAACTGTAGATTCCAGTAATTTATAGTCATTAACGTAGCAGTATGATTAGCATTGAGGCAATTAAAAACAGACCATACGGTTAAAAGTCAAACATATTAAGACAACCATTGATAATGTCATATGAATGTTAGTCACGAAGTTCTCCAATACTGAACCATGTTCCACTGCAATAGGTTTTAGCTGTAGTTAAAAAAATCCAAAATGTTTCAAATTAAGTTGATTGTCCTGCATATAGATTGTCATATTTATGTCATAACTGGTTATGATAGTTGGTAGTCGTTCAGAAAGAGATGTATAAGATGTATACATTTTACTCAGAGGCAAAAGTTTCCGTGATTGATTTTTTTCATTAGTAATCTTGTGAATATATTTTTGGTCTTTTTCGATTTGCACGAAATGTGCAAGAAGGTTGACATAATCCAGAAAAATTGGCAGCAATGCTCACAACCACACAATCAAATTTTTCCCCACTAAATCCATTGTTAAGAAGGCAGAAAAAAACAAGTTCGACACGGCATGCCTCGGGGAAAATGACAGTTCTCGGTATGCTTCAGTCTGGTACCTCGCAGGTGCTCGTCGCATAAACACACCATTACGGCGACAGTTCCAGCTAAATAATAAACTTATAGATAAAGTTACCCACCGGTAACGACCCCACAGAGACCGATGGAATAGACCCATGCCCCTCCGTCACAAGTTCCAGCCAGTAACCCTTACAGCCTGTACCAGACCTGGCAACAGAGGGTTATCGGCAAGAACAGTTCGACGACACCTACGCGTCTACGGCTGCCAATTCTGACGCCAGAACATTGACGTCGATGTCTTCAGTGGAGCAGACAACACGTCACATGAGTGGAGAAGAGCCCTCTTCTCCGATGAGTCACGTTCCTTTCTTTACGCACAGGTGAACGTTACATTTGGCCATTTGTTTTGGAAGTGGACGCGGGTGGGGTGGGGTCACAGTTGTACGTGAATGTGTACACCATTGTGGTAGACACTATCATCATTGTATTGGATAACATCCCAAGTAGGTACACATGGTATGTGTCTCTATACCTCTACATTTATTCATGCTATTTGCTATTGGTTGAAGCCTGTGTGGTCTGCCTGTCGCAGATGTGGCTGTGCATAGCTAGGTAATTGGTGACACAAAACAGCATTTATTCCTACTTACGTGACAAATAATTGTTGGCATGGGCGTGTACCTCTTCACGCTGATAAATGACAGAAACTCCCACCAATTCCCATCACGGGCTGCAGCAAACTGTATTCTGAGACGCAGGAAGAGTAAAGATAGTGAAACATTTTATTTTCACAGTTACTCCATCAACTGACAATTCCCAAATGTAGCAAAATATGTTAAACATGTAGCCTTACCGATATCTTCGTGAAGGTATATCAACAAAATCATTCAAGTATCAATGTTCTTTTCGTTAAAACGTTGTATGTTATCACCGCAGTGGACAGGTTTGTGTGGCGTGACGGCCATGAGCAGACCTTTGCTTTAACACAGTATTTTATAAAAGTGACTGCAGCCGAGTAATTCAGGCATGGTGTATGCTCAGTGAACGGGTTGTCCCAACTCGCATTAGTGTCGAGTTGTGCCCATTGTAGATACTTTGCAGATACTGCGCACGACCTCTTAATGGGGGGCGTGTGTGCGTGCGTGCGTGTGCGTGCGCGTGCGTGCGTGCGTGTGTGTGTGTGTGTGTGTGTGCCTAGTGGCTGAAGCGTTCGATCGTCATGCCGAAGACCGGGGTTCGATTCCCTACATGGGTATAATGTGTGAAAGCCATTTCTGGCGTCACCCGCCGTGATATTGCTTGAATATTGCTAAAAGCGGCGTAAAAGTAAACTCACTCTTTCTTAATAAGTATAAATTGGACCATATCACCCTGTCCACAAATTTGTTCCTCATTTTTCCCCCTCATCATCAGAATCAGATATCTGCTAGGGAATGCTTACCATTTTCGCAAACAATCCCCTGGTGTCATCACTGATTTTCTCTTGAAAGTTAACTCGTATCTCCACAAATTGTTTTGTGGGGCGTTGATATCACACTGTCATACTGGCTGATATTAGCTATGTACTAATGTACTACTCACCTAGAAGCTGTTCCTATTCCACCGTTAGCGCTGCCGTACACTGACATCATGACGCAGATCGGGATAATCCAGGAGGCCGGACCCAGGACCCTGTTTCCCCAAGTCTGATGGAAACAGTAAGTTAGGTTTAAAAAAATTGAACCGTGTTTCATTCATGTCACGCTGTGTCAGCTTGATGTGTGAAGAACGCCCTAGGAGACGCAGGTCTTGGTCCTTTACCACTTTGGTGAAAGCCACGTATATGGTTTGTTTGTTTGTTTGTTGGTTGGGTTGTTGTTTAGCGTCGCACTCACCAATATTCCAGCTATATGACGGCGGTCTGTATATATCGAGTCTGGGCATCGACGTTATTTGGATACAATGACATGTGCCAACCAAGTGAGCGAGCTTGATCTCCCTCTTACAACAAGCATGGGTTACTGAAGACCAATTCTAAACCGGATGTTCACGGGTCACGTATATTGTATTGGTTGAGCTGAAGTGAGTACTATGGGCCATACTGCGTTCTGAACAGGGCTCCGTTTATGTCTGAAGTGACATCTTCGAAATCAAAGAGAACAAATGTGACAAATTTCGTAACGTGATGAAGGTTTGCTGGGGTTTGAATCCAGAACCATGGCTTCCTGGCACGTTTAAGGGACGCAACTCGTGGACCAGAAGACCACTGCCCACCCGTGTGCAGGTTGTGCACAAACAAAACGAGTGGACATTCACGACTTCGTGTCGTCATTAGCAAACATCCTAACTTGTCAGACAACCAATATCAAGTTGTGATCAACATCACTGTTGATGCATCCCACCTTTCAATATATGTACCTGCGCGACGGCCGTCGATTGATACATCTCGTCACGGGTCATGACAGCAAGGTAGGAGATGTTGGTGAGGATGTAGACAACGCCGACTATCGACACACCGATGATACTCGACAGTGGTCCGTTTCTGGCAGTTGAGAACAATGATTAGATACAGGAAATTATATCCAGTATACTGCTACTCAAGATTTTGAACATATTCTGTAATGAACAAAATGTTTCTTTTGCAATATTGCTTATCGTTTATTAAGAGTGTTATCTTATACAGTGAACACTGTTATTTTCATCAGTGAACATAATGTAATCTATTTAGATATAGATATTTCAAGATTGCTTGTATGCTCGTCAATAGTGAGCTATCTGGACCATAAAGTCACAGGTTGGAGGCTAAGTCAAGTTTAAAAGGACAAGTCGATATATAAGGAGTATTAATCAAGTATGGGTTTAAGTGTACAATATAATATTTTTGGCATACAATTTGAATGTAAGCTTTTTGGAGTGCATGGAAATGTTTTAAATCCCTAAAGTATTTTTACGAAACGCGGGTTCACATAATGTCATTCTAACAAAAAAATCCTACGGCATATTCTTGTATCACAATATCAACATAAGATGTGGAATTACAAAGAGCGAACATGTTGGCTTTTATCAATATTTGGCGGACCGTTGGACCTTATCAAAAGGAGTTGTTTTGTGTCTCGTTTGCATATTTATCACATTGTGAAAAGAAGCTTATTGGGTCGGTTTGTCGCATCAATAACACACTCGTTAATATACTAACGTATGACTCAGTCAGTACCTTTGTGGGTCCTTCACCTCCTCTATCAAGAAGTTCACATTGTTCCTTGAAAGATAAAAATTACATATGATTCTGTAAAATATGTTCAAATGCTGCCTAAGCAGACGTGATGATATATTTATCAGTATCAGTTTCTTGTCAGGAAAATAACTCATAACATTTCATGTACACACCAGAAGAGCTGAACTGGTGACCTTTTCTTTTCATTTTCTGTTTGCGTTTTGAGTTTGAAAGCGTTCACTATGTATGTTCATATGAAGGTGGGATTCATTCTCGTTTTAGGAAAATTACTCAACATGAATTGTTTGATACTAGGCATTTGTACGAAATCGACAGAAAAGTTATGGACAACAAATTTTCTTATGTACTGTTGTAGCGACTTTTCGGTATTGATCCTTATTCGGTTATCATTGTAGTGATTAATACATGGCAGTGATAGACACCAGTAACTTCCATACAAGGAAGCGATTGACATGAGTGAAATAACAATAACAGCAGGCATCTCTGCAAGGATGGCACTTCTTTAGTCTTTTATGATGCGATATTTCGGTGCAGAGACTGCACGGTTGTCAAGCAAGAGTGACAATGAACCTTACTGCATCAAAAGGTGGCTTCCTTTGTTGCCATGGCGGATTTGATAGCAGAAGAGAAAAGAAAGGTGGTTCCAGATTATTTTGAAAGGGGTGTGACTAATGCAAAAGAGTTAGCAGGTAGACATGACATTCCTCTGTCTACAGTATACAGAACCTTGAAGAATATTCAGTCAGGAGTTGGGATTGAGCACAAGACAGTTCAGTACTACGGATCGCCAGTCAGATTATGAGTAGGGGAAAATTGAAAAGCATTCTGAATATCAGAAATGAGATAATTAATAGAGGAAGTCCTCATGTATTTAATGAAACCCTTAGACTTAGAATTACAATTACTGGGTGTAAAAGCGCGGAATTCCCTCACCATTGATGAAAGATGCACAAAAAGCAAGACGTTTAAATTGGTGTAGGGTGCACGAAAATCAAGACTGGGATAATGTTTTCTTTTCTAATGAAAAGTTATGCTTGGCTTTTTTCCGAACATCGTAAATGATCACCTCCTACCAACTGCCCGAACACTGTATGAACATAAATTAGATTTTTCAGCATGGTAACGACCCACAACACAGGCTATACAAAACAGTGGTTGCTGGACGAAAATGTTCAAGTTTTAGACCAGCTACAGCCGGGATCTTAACCGTATTGAGAATGTGTTTGGACTAATGAAGAATGACAGAATAAACCAAAATGGACTTAGAAATATTGAGGATATGAAGAAAGAAGTGGTCGAATATTGGGATATGCTGTTACATGATTTCCTACAAACTTTGATCGGTAGTTTATCTAGGCGCATTCGGTTATGTATTGCAGGGCAAGGAGGTGTCACAAAGTACTAAAAAGACGCTTGAACTGTAAGAGAATCATATCTCAACATATTTATTTACGTAAAACTTCAATAGTTTATATACATGTATTAGATATTGGCCGAAACAACTCTCAATACTTTGGAATACTATACCTTTTTGTGACATTACACACACAAGAGCAGGATGACTTGGTGTTGTTGTTTGACAGACACCCCTCACACACATACAAACCAGTTTCAGTTACGCCACACCCGAATATGAAATTTTGACCATCACTTACCATCCTCCATATGCAAACATGATCGAGTAGTACGATAGGGCGATATTTGAAACCACAGTCACAGAACCATCAAACCCAGTTGGTAGCTCAGATAACGTCCCTGCAAAAAAAAGACATACCTTATAGAAGGTGGTGGTGGAATTGGGTTTACCGTCGTGCTTGAGAATATTTCGCTCATATGACGACGTGCATGCGTGTGTATGTGTATGTGCGGCTGCTTGTACTAGCCCAGACTTAAGCTGGTTTTATAGTGCTAGCCCACTGAGATACCATGCCGCAGTGAAGCATGAATACCCCACTCAGACACATTATACTGACTCCGAGCCGACCAGTCCTTGTTGTACCCATTAATGCCAAGCGCCAGGCAGGGACCAACAAGTACCGTATTTTAACGTCTTTTGGTATGACGCGGCCGGGGATCGAACCCGCGACCTTCAGCACTCCGGGCGGACGCTCTAACCACTACATACCTTATAGAGGGACTACTAAATATAGATATTAAAGTTCTACATATTAAGTTTCATGTGCATTTAACTGTGTTACAACTATTGAATCGTCGTCATAACTTCAAGAGTTTATATACACCCAGCTCTGTTTTTACGAAATTTCGTATTTTTACGTCGCTTCGATAATTTTTCAATGTTTCAAATTGTTTTCTCAAAATTTCGGTAATCAAAAAAGGATGTTTTCTAGTTAACTTAACGTTATACTGGAAACTTTGAAAAATTCGAAAAAAATTAAAACATAATTCATTATCGTCAAGGAGCTCTAAGATGTTTTATGGCAAATTGTTCATCAAGCATTATTTTTTTTACTGAAATGATTTCCTCTTAAAATTTTGACATTGTATGAAACATTTGTCTACAAGAAGTCCAACGGTTTAGAGAAAATCAGTTAACCGTCGGAAATCTAATGTGTGGGTTCGCTGAGAATATGTATTCAGATTCGTCTGTACCATCCCGTGTTCGCCGCCCTCCCCACAGTTGTAACCTGAATCACATCAGGCCTTCTTCCTACATCCAGTTGATATGTCGGGGCAGTGGGGTAGCCTAGTGGTTAAAGCGTTCGCTCGTCACGCCGAAGGCCCGGGTTCGATTCCACACATGGGTACAATATGTGAAGCCCATTTCTGGTGTCCCCCGCTGTGATGTTGCTGGAATATTGCTAAAATCGGCGTAAAACCATACTCACTCACTCCCAGTTGATATGTCGGGAATACTGTTCAAATCGGTGTTGAACCTCACTCACTCCACTTCTGCTGTCTGTATCTACCCTCGATCTTACCTTGTCCAATTTTGACCAGACCTCCAATGATGATCACAAGTAGAGCTACCAATTTGGCTGCAGTGAAGAAGACCTGTATCCGTGCCGACAACCTCACGCTGTAGGAGGTGGTGAACGCCAGGACAACTGGACAACAGAAGTGAAGTTAATGTACTGGTGTATACGGGCATTTGGCCTCAGATTGTGCACTTTCATAGCTTGGACACTCTCATAGTACATGCTCCATACTCTGATTATAAAGCTATCATCAGATCTTATATCCGTGATCTGATGCAGAAGAAGTAGTACACCCAAATAGGTATCAATACGTTACATCACATTAAACCAACTATCGGTTACACCTACTTGGGTTGTCAATCCAGATTTGAGGAGGTCATCTTGCGACGCTGTCGCATTGGCCATACAAGATATACACATGAATACTTATTAAACGGTGAGGATCCTCCGTTTTGTATCCCTTGTGATGAGAGAATCACGGTGAAACATGTCCTGCTTGA